ATGCCCACTGACAAGTCCAGTACAGTCAGATGATTCAGTCCTCCAAAGGAAAATATATGAGAAGAGAATGCTGGACCTGGGATTATAGCCAATATCCAGGTCTACAGTAATAAATATCAGGAAGCGAAACGGTATACTGAGTTTTCAAAAAATGGATCAAAACCTTCACAGACCAGGTTTTCTTTAATTCTATCAAATACAGCCTCAGATCAAACAGAAGGAGCTTGGCATCCCCCACTCAGGATCACCCACGCACAGGACATAACAACTGTAATTGGAGACAGAAGCAACAACTAACAGGAGAGAGTATTATCTGTAGTTATTTACCTACATCCATTCACAGATAACTGCAACTGTTCAATCCCACTGGAGTATCTGGGCCTATTTCTAACCGGGAATACCTTATAAGAATTCCTTTCAAAAACGTTTCCCTGGGAAACACTCTACGTTAGTTGTAAAGCAAGTCTAACTAACTGGTTAAGTAATGTTCCAAAATTATAGTGTTTGGGACCTCTTAAGAACAAGCTAGTCAACTATGCGTTCAGGACAGCTTAAATTGATTTAATTTTCCCTTACTGCAGGAGAAGAGATTTAAGACGACCTTCCTAATGGAAGGTTCCTAATGGAACCTTCTGTGGTTCCATTATTATTTAATTTTGTGTTAATGATTTATGAAACCATTTCTAATGGAGTATATTACAGATGCCTCCCAGCCTACTCCCCAAAATTATTTCTACCTTTTGAGAATTGTTCACCAGGGCTACAAAACAAAGTTGAATTAGGTGTACAAAATATACATACATAGATATTTTTACACACAAAATCCCATGCTAGAACAATGTTAATATAATGGAGTAGTCCAACACCCCCACATTAGGAAGTGTAAGAATTAAGGCAAGAAAATCTAACTTAGCATATGTATGTATGTGATTTATAATACATGTTTTCATTGCATGATCCCACATTATTCCTTTCTGAGTAATAAATAGCACTAGCAGTAGCACTTCAAGGTTCTGAGAGAGACATTTGTAATTTTGCCTACAGGCTTTGAATGGTGTGCAGTAAATAAAGTACTAGCCACAAACTGAACAGGCTAAAAGAATATCAATGTTTAACTTTTATTCTAACAAGCACCATCCGCTGTATGTGAGAGAGATCTGAAAGGAAAAGTAGTATGCTACCTCATATTCAAAGATTGTATCATATCATGCACACAAAAGGGCTGAAATAAATTCACAAAAAACGCTTACTGTCTTTTTTTTCCCACACTTCTGAATGGTTGGTTTTATAACCTTATTTTTTATAACACTATTCTGTGTAAGATATCTTAGTTCTTAAAATTCCAGATTCAACAAAATTCAGTCGTATGCTGCTATAAAGGCACTCATATGTTTTATTAGCACAACTAATACTGGTAACAAAAGTTCTTCTGCATTTACCTCTCACTTGTGAATTCATGGTACAAATGCAGCAATATTAGAATATTATTACTTGTATGGAACAGCACTATATAAAGAGAATAAATCAGTTTGCCAGTATGTTTCATAGGCACTTTCTAGCAGAAGATGAATGAATCTCGGGTATCCTAGTTCCAATCCAATCCCTGGAAGAGGAAGTGCCTGGCTTCTTTGGATCTGTGTCCTGCCATATGTCCTTCCTTATTTCTGGCTCCTCAGTCTCATTTTCCTCATTTAACCCCATGTCACTGCCTTGACTTCTCCTCCCAGGGCCTGCCTACCTATGCTGTAGATACCCTCATTTTCTGTAGTGGACCAGCACACTTACTACCTGCTTTTCCCTCAGCTTTCACTGCTTTGTGCCACCCCAGATCTCATCTCCAATTGTCTTCTCCTCCACCAGGCCATCTCAGTGCCCCTCTGAGCTCCCAGTCCCAGACTTTCCAGCTTTAGCCTGCCCCAGCTTCTGCTACTTAGACCCCTCCCCCTTCTTAAGTTCATCAACCTAATCACTTCAAACCTTTCCTCCAGTAACATAATTCCTCAGTCTCCATGAAATGCATAACCCCAGCCAGTCCCATTTTCCTTCACCATAGTGAGCCTTCAGCTGATTTTCCTTTTCTACACTATCCTCATTTGCGTTCCACCTGTCCCAAACAGTATAGGTCACTGAATACACAAGGCAGTTGCTTTCAGTTAAGATGCTCAGACCTTGATCTCCCTGGAGTAGACTTCCTGCTATACAGATTGTTTTTCACAGAGAAAGTCCTACTAAGGCCACAACTGAAGCATACTCATGGAATCTCTGAGGAACAAAACTGCTAAAATTAAGAGAGGTCTACAGGGTGCTCCTGTACCAAACTTTTTTCAAATTGAACAAATTTAAAAAGACTTTTCAGAAAACACAGAAAGCTAAATTCCAGATAAAAACGCTACTTCCAACAAACTGTCACATTCCCAACTCAGTGCTTGAACATTTCAGAGAAAAGTTTGCCAGAATTTTCTAGCACTGGCAAAAACTATATATCCATATCTCATTCTTGGAAATCCATCCATCTTTCAAATCAAATTTATCTTGGAGCAGACACTCAGACTGCAACATTGGCTCTCAAACAATGTAAGGTTACAAAAGTTATAAGAAAAAAATAACACAATCTTAGACAATACTAATACACACAGTGTCCATAAAAGGTGATCCTCCAGTTTCATTCATATCGAAAGCGTTATTAAGAATATAGATGAAAGACCTTCAACAGTAAAGGTAGACTGTTACAGATTTTAGATACAATAATTATTTGCCATTGTCAGAGGTCTTATTCTGTTTTACTCTGCATCATTCAATGCAGCAAATTCAATAATGTCATTCAACTGTACATGCAAAATAGAAGAATACTGCATTATATAGATCCATATAAAATAATTTTGTTCGAGATCACTATATCTATTGATTTTGGACAGATACACTTAAGTCAATACTGATCCAGATCTACGTGCAAAATTCCCTCTAACAATGCCATAAAAAACATGAAAATAAAAACTATTTGCTAAACAGCATTTTTGGCATAATTCAATATTGGTTAAAATTTCAGGCAAGAAGTCTCATGTGAAATTCTGAGTAACTCCATTGAGTTTAAAATGCAGGTCAATCTAAATTAGCATGCAATACATGTAGAGAACATAAAGGTAGATAACTGCTGAAGATAAGAATAAAAGGAACAGAAGAAAGGACTCACCAGACCACAGATGAAGGCCATCAAAACCATAAGAGTATAGGTCATCACCAACACCATTGCCTCCCCATCCTTCTCCACCTCCAGGATAAGGGGCATAACCTGATGTAGAGGCCCATCCAACCCGTAAATGGGTGGGTTCTGCCGTCAAGAATGGATCAACCTGATCAATTATTAGTTCAAAGTACCACTTCTTATATTGTGCAGAGCCCTCAGCAACACCTAAAAATATATTTGGCCTTATGCTGAAAAAGAAAACGTAAGCCACTTAGTGTAAAGCATACAATGTAACATATGTGTTATATTGCTCTGTACTGTTCCATTTCAATTTGCAAATATGATACAAGTGTAGATATCCACATTTCACTCACAATCTTTGATTTAAGATAGTGGACCCATTTTATGACTTTACAGAGCTGCTTTAGAATTATCTGATTATTAAATGGAAAAAGCAGCTTGCAATTTTCTGTTTAATATCAGAACAGATCTTGCTATCACAAAAAGCTCTCTAAACAATGTCATCAAAGACTAAAGCAAAGTCCTGTACCTGGGATTGTCTACCCTCTCCACTTGGTAGAGACTGGGGACTGACTGGCTGGATAGCAACTCTGGAGTGCACAGTCAGCAGATCACCCTGGCAGTGATGAAGGCAAATAGCATAGCAAGGCTGCACTAACAGGAGGGTAGCCAGCAGCTTGAGGGAATTCATTATTCCCCTTTACTCAGCACTTAGTAGACCACATCCAGAATACTATATCCAGTTTCAGGCCCCCCAACACAAGAAGGATATTGATGAACTTGACTGAGTCAGATGGAGGGCTGCTAACACGGTCAGGAAACTGGTCTTGCTTACTCAGGAGAAAAGAAGGCTTAGGGGGAATGTAATTGCAGCAGTAGTACTTAAGAGGAAGTTATATAGGAAACGAAGACAGGCTGTTTACAAGGTGTAGGGCAGAAGAATGAGAGGCAATGGTTGTAAATTGAAACAGGGGAGGTTTTGACTGAAAATAAGGAAAAAAAAATCACTATAAGGATAAAATATTGGAACAAGTTGCCTTAAGAGATTAGAGAATCTCTGTTCTTGGAGGTCAGGTCAAGACTCAGCTTAGCTAAGTCCTAGGCAAGGAGGGCCTAGGTCTGAATTCAGTGTTGATCCTGCTTTGAACAGAATGTTAAACCAGAGACCTCCTGATGTCTCTTCTAACCTGCACTATTCTGTGATCAAAATCAGAGACCAGGATATAAAACTAAAACTGAAGATCCCTATACCTCAAAATTTAGGCCAGAAGTCATTAATAGAACTAGACTCGTGATTCAAAAAACCCATGAAAAACCAACTTTGTCTTAAGTATAATAAATCAACAGTATTGTTACTTTCATGCTTTCACCTACATGAACTTTTTAATTAGCAATTCCTATTCAAGTACAGTTTCCAGAATAATTGTCCTCTTGCTAGTAGTATTGGATTTTTAAAAAGTTGATACTTAAGCATTTCCTGAAAAGTCAGTGTTCATCTAGAAAACTATGGTACATCTCTCAGGTTACAGTATTTCCTTACCTTAAGTATTATAGACATACCAGTTTAGTTTTTTTTTCTAATATAACAATAAAACAAACCACAATACCTTGTCACATCATTAATCAAACGTGTTTGCAGAAGTAAGTCTCTTCTAGGCAGTAGATTGTCACAGATTAAGTTCTGATTGGCACGAACTGCAACTTCATTACAGAGACAGAGAGAGCAAAGCACATCGAGAACCTGAAAAAAGGTTAGAGGAGTCAGGCAAAGGAAGCTGCATATATGGCAATTCAGTTGTTAATTTAATTTACATTCAGAATAGACATAAAGCATTGGTACTGTTTTCTGAATCCTTTTCCACAGACATGGGCCAAATGTAGTCTGTATTACTGACAGTGAATATTCAACATTAGTGGAACATATGTTCGGAACACAGGGCTTGCAAAATGCCTCAAATAACCTTCCTTTGAGATTTTTTATTCTTGTTTCTATTAGAAAAAAGGAAGGCTAGAACAGCTGTATGGCAACTCTTTACAACAGCTCTTCTATCAAATCTCATTATAAATTTCAAATGTAAAATGAAATTTGTTGAGAAATTTGCTGTAGCCCAAACTTCCCAAGCAAAATTAGTGCACAAGTCTCCGTTGCATTTCTCAGATTGTTTATGAATCTGTTCTGAAATCATAATTTCAATGAAATAATTATATTCATATATAATGAATATATATTTAAAATGAAAAACATTTAAAAGAATTTATTGTAAAGCCAGACTTTCGGAAAGATCTAATTCTAAAATTGCAGGTTTTTTTGGTCACAGTCGGAAAATTGAAGAGTTTGATATAATTCTCCCACAAATTACTGTTGAGGGTACAATTCTGAGCAAAAGGGTTTGGAAAAGAGAACACAGTAACAAATTTTTGTCTAATGCTTAAGGAGAAAGCTTCTCACTTTTTCATAAACTAAATCATTTCCCTGACTTCACTTCCTAGTGTTTCAATTCAAATTTAATTCAAAAAATATGTAAATATTATTTAAAAATATATTTTGTCTTTATATTGAAATGTATACTCCCAGAGAAGCTTAAAGATGTGTTTAGTCTCTGACATGTAAGCATGGAGCAAAGACCCCTAATGCTCTAACTGTTACAGACCATATCCAAGACAAAGCACCATCTTCCCACTGTTTATTACCATTTTAGAAACCATTATCCAACTCAAGAAACAGCAGAACAGAACATTTATCTCAACCGTTCCTATTCACTGTACACTGTATTAGCACAAACCCACACTCCACAGTAGCTTATATATTGTAAACTCGGCCATGTCTCAGCCCCTCTCTTTTTCCTTCAACCACCTCTGGAACAGGGAAGAAACCTCTAGCAGAAGGACAGAGGTAATAACTTAATTAATCATAGCAAAACTGACCAGTACTCCTCTCTCTTACTAACGTTCATGAGAATCAACAACTCAGTATTTACGTATAAACTTTTTAAATAATGTTTATACACCCAGTGATCATACTTCTCACACAAGACTTTTTGTAAATAAATATATATATATATATATATGAATATATAGACAATTTTGCATAAATAATGCTACTGTTATTTCCTATTTGTTATTTCCTAAATCACAGCAGAATTTCTAATCTGGAAGGAAGACAAGATATTGTGTTTCCAGAGCTACAAATAAATTACTTCATTACTTACTGGTGCTAAGTCAAAGACATTACAGATGGAAAAGCACAAATCTGTTACCCAGCATCATTTTTCTGCATACAAATTTTTCCTTTTCCACTTTAAGTTCTCATTATGTCTGCGTAAGATGTTCCAGCTGAAAGGTTCTCTCTTCAAGAGACTTACAGAGCACAAACAATCTTCCTAACAGCTAAACACAGTAAACTAAACTTACCACTTTAAGTTCAATTGTTTATTATGCCTACTTACTCATACTCCTTAATCACCCTTAAAAATATTTTTTCATATTGGCAGTGGTTAGACTCTCCTTATATCCCTTCCTTGTAAATCAGTAATTTCAGCTCACCAAACATTTTTTGTGTTCTTCCTCCAGTTTATCAGGGTCTTTCAAAATAAGATTCCAACTGAGGAAGGAAACTGACATCAGAAAATCATACATAAACTATACCCTCCTGTGTCCTCATCACAGCCGCTACCTGTGTTCACATTTTTTTCTGTCATAAACTGATGCCTAGCTTAATGTGCCTTGCACATTGATGTCTAGCTTAATTTCCAACACTGTTTCTAAGTCTCGTCGGGTGTAACTTTTTCAGTTTTCTTCCTCCTCGTTAACTCCTGAGCTTTCAAATATTTGGACTTTTTTTTCCAAATTTCCATTTTATTTTGCTGTTTTCTGCTACTATTACTGAAGTCAGGAATCACTTCACAGGATTTAGTTCTGTCTGTCTGGAGATAAAGAAATAGTAGTTCACTGTTTCTGCAGAACTCTGGATCACTAAGGTACAAGCTACTTTGTTCAGGTTTTACAGTCACCAAATAGAGTACTTCACTGTCTCAGCATCCTAAATGATAGGTACAACCCTTCTGATGGGTTAGCAATATTTCTTAGCTTGCTATCTACTTGTCATGCATATCTTGCTGTATTTGAAACGGAAACGCAATTATACATTGCACATTAATTTTTGATCTCAACAAAGCAATTTTTCAGACATACTCCAATGTTATTTTATTCCTTTAAGGATACTAGTATCATATGCTTCCATGCAGAGATTTCCATGTTTTTTTTTCATACATTACTGAAAGATTATCAATACATCCTTAGTTTTACAAACATACCTTGTAATTGCGCCCATGTTTATCCAATAATGAGATAATAGATTTGATATGCTCCTCAGCTATTAAATTTAAAGCCTCTGGGCTTTCAATCAAGATGCAGTGCAACACTTCCAAAATACCTGTATGAAGGTCATAGAAATAATGTTGTCATGAAATAACCTGCAGAACTGAACACAGTTTAAAAGCTTAATAAATAACACACTATTTCAAGAGATAGTCTTCTCTAATTCTATCTATTAAATGCCTCAAGCCTGAAAAGAGAATGAAAATATGTTTAAAAGAGTGTTGATATGATTATGATGTGAACTGCATTAGACATAAATGCATTATGAAGCTGTTAATTTCTGATTTTTTGATAACAAACATTTTAAAAAGCATTTGAGAAGAAGGTAAGTTTAGCTCCTCTTCAATGAGAGAGAGAAAGTTTTTAGTAGGGAGCACTGTGCAGTGTTTTGATCTTTTGTTGAACATCTCATACTGCAAAAAATGTGCTCACCACCTATTCTTGTGCTATTTGATAGTGATGGAACAATACTGCTGATACTGTCTGACCCGATTAATCATTTTACTAAAGTCATCTGCAACAATGACTGGATGTGAAATTGCACATACCAAATGTATGAAACCAAAAAATGACAAGAAATAAATGGTTTTAAAGTCATTTATTTGATTTAAAAAAACATGCAAAATATGTATTTTCTAATGCATGCTGGTTTTTAAGCTGAACTGCTCTGACACGTATGATGTAAGATAGTTATTTATGATGTACTGATAGTCAGTTTACACTTACAAAATGAGTCTCACCTGAGGAGGATTCTAATCTGTCCAATTTACTTATAAGCCAATCAAGGTTACTGGAAAACTGAGTACAATTGTTTCTGTTGCCACGAATGAGAGCAGCTGAAAAAAACAGAAGGTACAGTTTTATAACACTAGATTTTTTTCAATCACCAATGTTAATATTTTAACATAATTTAAAAATAACTAAATGAAAATAATAAATCCTCTTTCTCATCCATGAATCAAATAAATTTTACCTATTTATAAGAGAGATGACTACATAGGTTTTATCTGAACTGTTTAAACTCCAGGAATTACAAAGGGAATCTGGAGGTTTTGTAATTGTTTTTTCAATTTAAATTTTACCCAGCTCAGAGGTCATATTGGTTACCATCTGATGTTTGTTTAGTTGCTAATATGAAAAGCATTCAAGACTAAGCACAATTTAGGATTAGTGTATTGATATGTAATGTTTCTCAGCTGGTCAGTTTCTTCATGTATCTGCAGAAAGCTACACACATGGCAGCCCATCCACCCGAGTGTCTAAAGAGAAGATCTATTATATGTGCACAGTAGGTCAACTGACAGACTTATAAATACGCATTGCACATATGCATGTATGACACACGCTTTCTGGAGTGGCCTTAGGAAAGAGATTGGGAAGAAAAGGCTCTCACCATCAAGATAATTAATGCAGCGTTCTTTTAACGAGATTCATGTAGAACACACATTGTGCTCTCAAGAACAGCAGCACTTAATCAATATTCCCAAATGCCTCACCCTCATCACATCATTGCAGCCTGTCCTACAGCAGGGAAAGTGCCAGTGTATTTCTTGTGAAGATGGCAGGTATGAACAGAATACTGCCATTAAAAACCACTCATATGTATTCCTTGTATGCTCTTAACCTGTACAGAGATACAGAGGATCACACAGAATAAGTCACTCATAAAGTGATTCATTCTGGTGGACCACATATAGCCTCAGTTTATGGGGTGAACTTCAGGATTATTCTTGGGGCACTATTCTGGGAGTTCCTATTTCGCTGTTTAACATAAAAAATATGGTAAGTTGTAGGATTTTCTATTTTCTGATGCTTTTTCCTACCACTTCCTGCAACTGCAGCTTCAACAAGGGATAAACCAACTCCACTCTGCCTAGCCAAACGTGTAAAAGAGTAGTCTCTTAGAAGATGAAAATACTAGCTTAGAAAATGGACTTTGTGAGAAAATGTGCTGACTACTAGAATATTGTACAGAAGATGGGCATTCCCAGCATTTTCAAGAAAAGAAAAAATACTGCTCAGTTCTTTGAGAGAATGGTTGTAGATGTCTACCCTCAGGATTTGGTGCTCGCAGTTACAAGCTGGATGGAGCTGCTTCACCTGAGTTCCAAAACCTTGGAAATGACTACATCTCACTGAACAGTTCTTGCCCCCCAAATCAGTATAAAAACTTTTTGGACTGCCTTTCAGAGACACAGTCTACAACTTCCCTGAGGCACTGTGGAGTGAAGAGTTGGGCAAGTTAAAGGTTCTAGGTTTCATTCAGGACACCAGGCACCTAAGGACAAAGCATCAAAGTGGCTAAGTTATTAACTTTTAATACTCAAACTTTTACTCTGGCTATCCTAATTGGTATTAACATATATCCTTGAAAATAATAATTGGCATGACTGTTAGCAATAAAAATGCTTTCTTATTTTTCTTCCAAATTTTTACAAACAGTGGTAATTTTTAAAACAAAATAACAAATTGAAATGAAGAATGTACTCTTCCCAGCAATTAATCTCAAAATAGTGTGAAAACAGCAACTCATTGAATAAAAATATTTTGTTTCTTTGTGCTTGAAGAAACACGATCTGCTTGAAGATGATCTGCAGCAGTAAATTAAGACGCCAGGATTTTCAGGAAGATTCAGATGCTTAGCCTTACTTCATTCCAGGAGGAGATAGGTACCCAAATACTTTTGAAAATCTGAACTGCAGAAAGAAGCATGAAGATTATTCTGCTTTCCTCTAAGGTTTAAGGATAATGCTTTTAACTCCTCTAATACTCATTAGAAGATATGGATATAGGGAATCCACAGCAGAAGCTTCAACAGAGGTCATAGTTAGAAAAGCAATTGAAAGAAAGTATATATAATACTTTTTAATACAGATATTATAGAGAAAGGCTTTGTCATCTAAAAATCCTTCAAAAAAAAGCTCAACAGACAATCCTAAAAACATGTTATAGTAAGAATGAATTAAGATTTTCAGTAATGTACACGTCAACAACTGATAAAACTTCTTCAATAGCACGTACTTTTTGAAGTTGACAGTGGTTTACTGTATAAACCAGAATTTAAGCAAAACGTGTGCGTACTATTTTATTTCATTCATATCTCTGGTTAGTAACAGAAATTATCAACAAACCTTGTTTGATTCAACTGTTAAGCACTGTCATGATCAAAAGGCTGAAACACTTCTTTTTGTAACTCCTCCTACCAGTGAGTGGAAAGCTCACATACAGATGTACAGGCTCAAGTGGAGGCTGGGTACTGCTCTTTAGCTCCACTTTCTGATTAAAATATGTTGTGGAATCAATAGTGTTCAGCAGCACAGAACACAATGTTATTTGACTGCACTGAAAGGTTTTTAAGTAATGTTGATTTTTTTTCTTGCAGAAGTTATTACTGATCACAGAAAAATAAAAATAGCCTATTGTATACATTGTCAAGGATTTTTATTATGAAGCGTGTGACTTAATTATTTACTACAACAGAACAAGTGTATTTGAGAACTACCTGCAGAAGAAAATCAAGATAACATGTGAAAAGGCCTACACAGCACAAAAGAAGTTTTTTGCTTCCTACTTTTCTTTAAACTCATAAGACTACAGTAAAATGCAGACCATCGTTATCATCACACTGTCTGAAGCAATGGGAGGATTTCGCCAGAAGCACCTGCACTTTTGTGCTAGATGACTAATCTCATGCTTCAAAGTCCACTTTTAGTTTGTTTTATTCTTGTTCTAAATTTCAACTTGCTTATTTTACATATTTTACTAAATTTTTAAAATAATAACTCAAGGCTATTTGCACACCAAATTTTTTAAAAAAGAGATTTTGCATGCAGCATGAAAGTTCTTTTTTTTTTTAAGAGTTGATTTATTTTTCTGCTGTATCATTACTCAGTAAACTCTACTCCCAGTAATATATATCAGTAAGAATATGCAAGGAATTGCATAATTAGCATGATGGAATGAATGACACACCACGTATTCTTCTGTGGTGCAGAAGCAACGAGTAAAATATAAAGAATACATACCCTGATTTTTCACTACAGTAGATCATTAGAGAACTTACCTAACAATCTGTACAGGAGATTCAGAATTTCTTTCCATGCCGTACCATTTTCTTCTATTGCAACTCCTGCAAAATGAGCTACACTATTGTAGTCATTTAAGCGATCGATGCAATTCAAAACTAGAGCCAGCATTCCCTAAACACACATGATAGAGAGGAAAACCAACTGTACATGAAAAAGTATTTGTTATCTTTTCAGTACATTCTCATGTATGCACTTAAAAGGTGTATCATCTTAGATAAAAACATCATGTTTACAAGATTTGAATATGCATGTCTCTATACCAAAATCATCCTTTTTAGAGAATGATTCAATACTATTTCTTACTTATCTAAGTGTTATAAGAGGTAAGGAATAAACAAAGCTGACAGGAAGGCTTTTATAATTTTTGTGAATAGAATCTTGTTTACATAGAAAAAAAGTTTAAATTTATATACAATGCAATCTTTGTTGATTAAAAATGATATTGGAAACCTGCAAGCAGTTTAAGCACGTTTACAAATACTGTAAAACATATTTTCTATGTGTACAGAACCATAATTATGTTTTCAGAGATTATCAGTCCTAGAATTATACAATATATATCCTTCTCTAAAACTGGCATTGGCCTAGTTTCCAGATGTAAAAAGCCCCTGCTTCATACCCTTATGGACAGGCAGGACATGAGAAATAAAATCTATCACTGATTCAAGCTTTATTGGTCATTTGGGGCATCCAGCCTGTACAATTTCAGGAAGAGAAAAAGAACTTTTTTTGTCGTGAAAGTATCTTTTAATAATGGCAATTATTTAAAGATGATCAGAAAACAGAAATATTAAGACCAAATTCTAGCAGAGAAAGCTTGTGGGCTGGGATGAGTGTGAAAGTGAAAAATATGTAACAATAATTTATTGTATGGCTTTACAGTCTATTATATGTCAGCTATATTTCTTTACACACAAATTACACATGTGTATCCTGAAAATAACATTTAGAATTGTCTCAGTGTTTGTAACATGATATGCTGAAAATTAAAACAATGTAACAATTCCTCTCTTTGTACCTCCTCTTTGAATAGATTTTGTCTGTTTTTGAGTGAACGAAGTTTGCTTTGCTTATCTTCATGTTCCAGATCTTCTTCAGGAGGCAGGAAGTAAGTAATCAGGTCTTGCAGAGTCTGAACCATCTCCTCAACAGGCAGGGCAACGGGTGATAGTGTTCTGTTGTTTCCACTACAGAAAACAAAAACCAGAAAGAGTTGCAGCATTATTTTTTTTCACAAAATAATTTACAGTATTGCATAGCAGCCTCTTTTCTGGTGATAATTCAACTAGTTCTTGTTATGTATACAACATAGGATATGAAGAACTGATCTGAACTGCAAATCATTCAAACATTTACTGTTTGGGTGTCCAGCACTCCTGGAGTGGAATCATATTTCATCTTCTGCACTGACATAGAGAGAAAGAGAACAAAAAACTGAAAAAGAGAAGAAAAAATGAAATAAAATAAGTAAGCTGAAAGATGAAATAGAGAGGAAGGATACCACAAAGTCCTATCTTATACTAACCGATTTTGTTTAGATGCTTTAAATCTTACTGATAATATGGCTGTATGATACAGATGGTCTTAAATAGTAGCAGCTATTGAAGCTAAACACCCCCAGCTTCCTAGACAAAGAATACAAAATAACATGTAAAACTAAGCTTCTTCTGTATCAACTCTATATAGGACATAAGGAAGAGCAGAATTTAAAAATACGAAGCATTTCAAAGAATTTCAGTTGTTTGTAACATAGCAACTTTTCTTTCCTCTTCATGCATTTGTTCAAACAATCTTGGGTGACAATCTGATTTTTTTAGGTTCAGAGTCACTACTATAGACGGTATAATCTAGGAGGAGGTGACTGATGACAGAGGTGGCTGGTTTTTTAGGAAATGCAAAAAAGGAGGGTGGTCCCCTGTGATATCACATAAATAACGTTGTTTTAAACAAACACACACCCATAGAGGGTTCTATGCAAGCAAATTCAAAAATATAAACTCATTTTTCTTTATAACCTATGATCTATTACCTCTCCAGTAGAAAATCCCCTAAGTCAATAGTAATTCAGGTGAAAGAAACAGGCAATAATAAAAGAATGACTGATTATCATGATTGAAACTTTTGCAAAACAAGATATAAAAAAGTCTCTTTAGAAAAATCTTCCAAAGGAATTAAACTATGTATATTGCTATACAGCAAAGAAGAGAGAAAGTATCAGTCTGAAACAACTTGTCATTTTCTCCCCACTTAAATGTTAGTCAATGTCAGATGATACAAGCAGAAGATAATTTAGGAAACAATGAGGCACACAAATGTATGCAGCTTAATGCAGCTTCTCCATTAATGTTGCCTGAAAACGTGAAATGAAATGCAGAAACGAAAATAGCTTTTCAAAAAGCCAAATCTCGTTGGGGGAGAGAAAGTCCTAATTGACTTTCAGTATAAAGCTTTGAGAAATTTGGGTCACTCTCAGATAGTAAAACCTGATGTTGCTCTGTTCCTATTGAAGAAATAAGAAGACTGGCACACGGAACAGCATTTGCCTCAGATGTTCGGATTTTTTGCTCTCCTTCACCTCCGTAGCCCCAAGTAATAGTAAACATACAGAAAGAACAGCAAGTGGAATGTTCTCTGGTTATTAACCAACATGGGACCAAAGAAACCCAAAAAATATCCCCAAAAGCTTCAATAACTCAACACCACCTAAATTTAGGAATAGTCAGAGGAAATATTCATACTGAGATGAAAGACCTGAACAACTCCTTTCCAGAACACTTGCGTTGTCTAGTTGTCTCTTTTCATTGCTCCTCTACTCTTTCACGAGATTGAGGTGACTCGCTTTGCAAGACTTTTGATTGCAGTGTGTATTCTTACATATTTATCTCAGCAATTATAAATGAACATGTATGGTCTTTTACCTTAAATGTCCTCAGACAAAAAAGAAAGATACAGAAGAGGTCTAGTGAAGGAAACACTGAACTTTCACTGGATTGAAGATATATATCTTGCTGTTTGCTAAAGAATATTATCCCGCAAGTATAGTAATGCAAGTCAAAGAATGAGAGGGAGGGTGAGCAAAAGTAACAGAAGATTGTGGATTTCTCTGCATACCAAAATTTTGCTTCGAAATACACCATGTTTTCAAACTAGCATAGCTAAAAGTATTTTTCATAAGGTCAAATACAACCACCAGACAATTTTCACAACACTTTCCTTCACTAACTGAGTTCTAATGCCTTCATCACAATAGTCAGATCTCCTGAGGGAGGTAAATGCTCTTCAATCAGCAAAACATAAATTTTGATAGACTATCTTAAAATGTATAATGTCCAGCATATTTGTTTTGCTATTGGCTATAAATGAATTTTTCTGTGAAAAGGAAAGTATTATGTTATTTCATGTGTGGCAAGGTCATTAGCCAACTACTTACTAACTACAGCTCTGTGTACAACCCTTTTGATTAATTAAGATTATGACAGAACAAGTCTGGTGTCTTACTAAATTGTTCATGTTGCCTAACTTTCTGATTTTCTTTATAGTACTGACTCCATGCTTAGGGTACTCACATACTACATTTTTCACAATGTCCTGCTGTCAAAGGGTTTTGGTATTTTGACTTGCGGAAATAGCTGTTTTCAGATTAGTTTGGGGATTTTATTATACAGTTAATAGGATAGCCCAGCCCCAGATCGTTCTTACTGAGGTGTAATTACTAACATCTTTGTCCTCTAGTACAGCAAAGATTTTGAAAAAGAAATACAATTCAGAAAGTAATTCTACTGATTCTCTTCCAAAGGTACAGGTAAAACTTTGCAGCCAAGATTTTGAAAGCAGTAAGTTGGTACTATCCTCTTAGACATGAAGAGATATCTACTTTGTGCTTCCTTTTATCATTTATTTGCATGGGTTTGGTATTGCTGTGCAATCCCACTCTATTTTTGGTCTGAATATTAAGAATCTTTCTTCCTTTCAGTTATAGGTTTGACAAATCTAACTAGAATTAGCTACAATCTTTGGTCTATGAAACAAAAACAGACAAATTAGGAAAAATTAATATTCTCAAACTCTAGCTATTGTAGAACAAAATCACTTCCTTACTAACGGAGTTACGCTGGGATCATTTAACATATCTTCTTCAAAGAAACCAGGAACTGGATTAGGTTTCAGTTTGCTTCCAGCTTCAAGGTATTGGTTTTTATCTAAAGAACCATAAATAAGCTGAGTTCTACCTATGTAATGGCATTACTCTTTTGTATACATTAAAATGACGAACTTAATTAAAATATATTGCTAATAGTTTCTGAATATAAATATCTGAAAGTTGGAAGCAATTTTTTTTTTAGAGAAACTCCTATCATTTCAGAATACTTTGAAAAAAGAAAAAAAACATAAAAATAACTGGAGATAAGATGGTAACAAGTACCTTATAAATTGGCTGAATAAGCTTGTAGTATTGCGAATGATTCGAGCAGCCTGGGATTCTTCATGCTGACATCTTTGTAAGGTTAGACCATCATCCATATGGCCTTCTTGGTGTAGTATAACCTGTTGAAAGTCAATAATAATCATAACTATTTAAAAATCTTTGTGCTTTTAAATTTTTTGTAACTTTTATTTCAATACTATTCTGAAAACAATTAATAATTACATATATACCAAGGTACTACCTGGTGTTCACTTTATCTGAATAACTACTAATTAATCACTTTTATTAATTAAAAAGTTGTCATTCTCACATAAAAGGTATTCAGAGAAGACATTTTAAAGTAACTTTGTTCTCCAGTAACTTGTGAAATGTATATGCTTATCAAACATCTTCCATTCAAACTAAAAATATTCTTTCTAAATGCTGCCTGTCAGGGAAAGAAGGAGTTCACTGTCTTATGCATCATTTACTAAAGGATTCACACATGAGAAGACTACTTATAGAAAAATCAAGCTGGATAAAATTACAGCACAGCTGAAGAAGCAACAACACTTGCTACTAACTTCTGATTCATGTAACGAGTCTCTCCACATTATGTAGACCCTTATCAGAACCAAATCACCTTTCTTAAACATGAGATCTCTATGAAACACCGTAGGAACTTCAAGCGGTAACAGAAATCCTTCAGTGGGTTTCAATGTTTCTCTTGAAGTAAATACTCAGCTTCACAGAAAGCCAGCACAGTTTTTCAATATGACATAAAAATAAATTTCATTGCTTTGAGTCATTAAAATTCTACAGCACTTTTACAAGAATAAAGCGATTTATCCTGCTCCTTTTCCTAAAATGTAATCTATTGATTTTTCCACTGAAAAATGTGTTTTTCTGTGTTTCCTAATAGATTCACTCTGGCTCTGAGATATTCAAAATCTGCTGCCCAACATCTTACTTAGCTGAATAATTTTGTAAGTCCTAAATAGTTAACAGAACAAATTAATGTTATACTAATGGTTACTGGTTCTGACTCAAATGGGAAGATTATAACCAGTAACTTTTCTACATACTGGAATATGGATATACCAAAGCATTGTATAGTAATGCTTTTTATATACAACAGGATGCAAAGCACGCACATGCCGTTCCTTCCAAGATGCTGAGGAAGTACTCATAGTTGTAAAAGGGGTACACAATTCCCTATGAGCTTATCTGGACTCCAGAATGCATGGAACTGTGATGGAGAAGACTGGGAAGACACTTCTGAATGAGAATATTGATAACTTATCTCAAAGGAGAATAGTTGCAGACAAGTCATCTTTCCTTTTTCTTCAAGTACTTCTTTATACAGTCATACTGTGGGTGACCTCATTAGCTAACATATCACTGTTTACATAAAGAGTCCTGGGGTCTTTTAACTGAACAGTAACTAAAGAACTGCTCTTCTCATCATAAAACTAACACAAAAAGCTCTGAAAATCAGATAATGCTTGCTCAACCCATGCATGTAGCTCCAGATTTTGGAAATGATGGTAAAGGAATGAAAACGTTTGGCAGATGGGATACTAAAGCTGCTACATCGCAAAGTATTTGCACCTTCACCATTTTATAGCAGATCATAATAATCAGTCTTCTCCCTAAGATGGGGGAAGAGAGAAGAAACCTGTCGGATGACCAGATCTTCCCTATTACTCTGACAAAAATGGTAACCACTAGGGCTATTCTCTGGAAAACAGAGAAAAGAAAGTACCTTTTGGTTCTAGATGAGACCTGCTGTCCTATCAAAGATACAAGAACGAAACTTAATCATCTTGTTGCCCTCTGATGGACGTGCTCCAGTAGGTCCGTTTGTCTGTCTTGTACTGGGGAGCCCAGACCTGGACACAGCACTCCAGAGGTGGCCTCACCAGGGCTGAGTAGAGGGGAAGGATCACCTCCCTCGACCTGCTGGAAACGCTCTGCCTCATGCAGCCCAGGAGGCTGTTGGCCGCCTCTGTTGGCGCACAAGAGCGCACTGCTGGCCCCTGTTCAACCTGTTGTCCGCCAGGACACCCCGGTCCTGCTCTGCAAAGCTGCTCTCCAGCTGGTCAGCCCCCAGCCTGTGCTGGTGCATGGGGTCATTCCCCCCATGTGCAGGACTTTGCACTCCCCTTTGCTGAACTTCATAAGATTCCTGTTGGACCACTTCTCCAGCCTGTGGAAGTCCCTCTGAGTAGCAGCACAACCGTCTGGTCTATCAGCCACTCCTCCCAGTTTTGTGTTGCCTGCAAACTTGCTGAGGGTGCGCTCTGTCCCCATCATCCAGGCCATTGATAAAGGTGATAAATAGTATGGACTCAGTGTCAGCCCCGGGCGACACCGCTAGTGACCGGCCGCCAGCTGGACTTTGTGCTGCTGGCTGGTAGTTCAGCCAGTTTTAAATCCGTCTCAGTGATCACTTACCTAGTCCATGCTTCACCAGTTTGTCCATGAGGATGTTACGGGAGACCGTGTCGACAGCCGTACTAAAGTCGAGATTAACAACACCCACTGCTCTCCCCTCGACCACCAAGCCAGCCATCTCATCGCAGAAGGCTGGTCAACCTTGGTTTCCCCTTCAGAAAGCCATACTGACCATGCCCAGTCACCCCCTTGTCCTTCACGTGTCTGGAAATAGTATCCAGGATTAGCTGTCCTAGGCATCGAGGTGAGGCTGAGCAACCGCTAGAAGGATCCCTGGAACCTTCTTGAAGACAGCAGTGACACTTGCTTTCTTCCAGTCCTCGGGTGCCTCTCCTGTTTGCCGTGACCTTTCAAAGACAATCGATAGTGGCTTCGCAGTGAAATCCGCCCACTCCCGCAGCACTTGTGGGTGCGTCCCAACAGAGCCTGGGGACTCGCGTATGTTTAAACGTTCCCTAGCGCTGAACCTCCTCCACCAAACGTGAAGTCTTCCTTGTTCCAAATTTTCCCGCTGGTGTCAGGGAGCTGGGACTGCTGATGGCAGGTCTAATCAGTAAAGGCCAAGGCAAAGAAGGCACTAGGTACCTTGGCCTTTTCTGTGTGCTTTGTCAGCAGGTTCCCTGGCCCATTCAGCAGCGGGCCCACATTTCGCCTACTCTTCCTTTTGCTCCTGCTGTCCTGAAGACGCCTTTGGTGGTGCCCTTCACATCAGCTGCAGATAGGCTTTGACTTCCCTAACCCCGTTCCTGCAGGCTCCTACAAGCGTCCCTCTATTCCTCCTGTGTCATTTGTCCTTGCTTCCGCCTCTTGTATTCCTTTTCATAACTGAGTTTTGTCAGGAGCTCCTTCTTCATCCATGCAGGCCTTTCCTTGCCTTTATTTGATTTCCTGCTTAGCCGGAATGGATCATTCCTCTGTGTGTTTGGCTAGTTTTATATTACTAGATATATGAGAGGACTTCACAAGCACCCCAAACAATATAAATTTATCAACTGATCCTTTCTCCTCTTCTGCTAATCCTACCATCTTTAAAGTTATTAGAAAAAGAAAATCTGCTCAACCAAAAAAAAAGTGTAATGACAAAAATAAAAACTTTTAAAATTGAAGCTTTTTTCTATGCTTTCCATTTTGAATGTTTAGGTGATCAATGTTTCATCAGTAAATACAAGCTTCGTTAACATCTTCTTCTTTCCTGGAGTAGTGACAACCCATTCTTATCAACGCAAACAGCATGCTGCCAAGGATGAGAAACATTTATTTGATGTTCAGCTCTAGGTATAAAAGAAGAAGGCTGTCCAGTGCAGAAAAATAACTAACTAACCAAAAAAGTAATAGTAATAATAAAAAATATAATAATAAAAACCTTCATTTGGTTCTTTTTGAAAATGTTAACAAAGGAAATACAGTTACGTGAAAAGCTTGGAGTTTTTTTCCAATGGGTGTAAACAAAGACTCAAGTTATGACAAATAGAATTTTTGTGATTCTAAGTTTCACTTAAGTAAGACTCAAAGTACTTCTGCTTGTGTCAAGTTACACTATGAAAACGAATTTTCCATGAAAATTGCTACATGTTTAATTTGTTTAGGGCCGATTTCACATTGTACTACGATATATTTTTCTAGCACTTTTACTAACTGAGGGCAATTGTAAACCAAGGGGCCTTGAAAAAACAGCACAGTTATATACAAAGTTCCAGCAG